GCAGAAGGATTGCCAGAGCCCAGCGGGTCGAGGCTGCAGTGGCCGGGAGCGGCCACTGCACTCCAGTCTGGGCGACAGAGTGAGACTCCAACTAAAAAAAAAAAAAAAAAAAGATAACTTTGAGGCCAGGCATAGTGGTTCAAGCCTGTAATTCCAGCACTTTGGGAGGTGGAGACAGGAGGATTGCTAGAAGTCAAGAGTTCAAGATCAGCCTAGGCAACACAGCATGACCTCTTCTCTACAAAATATTTTTTTTTTTAAAAAGTTAGCCAGGCATGGTGGCACACACCAGTAGTCCCAGCTACTCAAGAGACTGAGACAGGAGGATCACTTGAGTCCAGAAGTTGGAGACTGTGATAAGCTGTGATCACGCCACTGCCCACTGCACTCCAGTCTAGGCAACAGAGAGATCCTGATTAAGAAAAAAAAAATAACTTTGAGATCTGTCATTTCCATTTACTTATACACTTGTTGAACAAATCCTCCAACGGAAACAATATTTCCCCACAAGTTTGTTTCAAGTTCCTAATTTCATAAATTCACAAGCCTCTGCTCCAATTTCTAGACCAAGTACAAGCCTCACCTTGCTCAAAGCATACAGATCCAGAATCTTTCTTTCTACCACAGGGATCTTCAAAGTAGATCCTTGAAGTTCCCAAAATTTTGCTAGTTGATCCAAAAAATCCAGTCTCACTCTGGTCATTGCCTAAAATAATTAAAATACAGAAATCAGAACTAAACTATGGTTGAAATAAATGAGTCTTACATAATAAAGGTACTCATTTCTCTAAAGAAATTCAAAGACGTTTCATTATTGCTTAGTCCAATCCCATAAAACTAGCCAATAGTAAAGAGGAAAAATATTTCTAACAAATTTTATTAAGGCAAAAAAGTTACTCTAAGTAACATAAAAAGTTGTTATACTAGCAACCAAAACATCTAAAAGTTGGTTTAACTTCATACTAACCAGAAAATTCAGTAAATCAGATTATTCTTAGTCTCTAAACATTCTATCATTTCATCTATAAGAGGTTCGGGTGCATCAACTCTACCTCACTGATATTAAAATGCATCATTAGCCTGGGCACGGTGGCTCACATCTGTAATCCCAGCACTTTGGAAGGTGGAGGCCAGAGGACTGCCTGAGCCCAGGGGTTCGAGACCAAATTGGGCAACTTGGTGAGACCTCATCTCTACAATAAATCAAAAAATTAGCCCCAGGCATAGTGGCGCATGTCTATAGTTCCAGCTACTCAGAAGGCGGAGGCGGAAAGATCACCTGAGCCCAGCAAGTCAAGGCTGCGGTAGCCATGAACATGCCACTGCACTCCAGCCTGGGTGACAGAGTGAGAGTCCTACCCAAAAAAAAATAAGAAAAAAAAAAAGAGATGTGTCATTAAGTATCTAATTACAAGAAACTAAAGGAAAAAATATGTATTCAAATCTCAAAAAATAAATGTTTTAGGAGCATCTAGGGAAAAAGAAAAACCTCAGCATGACATAACATAATAAACTTTCGTGATCAAATTCAGAACTTTTCAGCCGGGCTCGGTGGCTCAGCCTGTAATCCTGCGCCTTTGGGAGACTGAGGTGAGTGGATTGCCTGAGCCAGCGGGCTCAAGACCCGCCTGGGCAACTTGGTGAGACCTCATCTCTACAATAAATAAAAAAAAAAAAAAAAAAAATTAGCCAGGCTTGGTAGCGCGCGCCTGTAGTTCCAGCTACTTGGAAGGCTGAGGTGGAAGCATCGCCGGAGCTCAGCTGGTTGAGGCTGCGGTGGCCGGGAGGGTGCCACTGCACTCCAGTCTGGGCAACAGAGTGAGACTCCGACACACAAACACAAAAAAATTCAGAACTTTTGACAGAACAGTACTTTTGTACTCTAAGGTAGTTTTCAGACTACAATGATGAACTTCCTGAAAATCCAGCAGACAGGAAAAACAGTAGTATTTAAATAGACCTCCATTTAGAAAATGTAAGAGAAATTAGTAATTTTTTGTTTTTGAGTTGGAGTCTCACTCTGTCACCCAGGATGGAGTGCAGTGGCATGCTCATGGCTATCCCAGCGTCGACCTGCTGGCTTAAGCAATCCTTCCGCTTCAGCCTTCCAAGTAGCTAGAACTATAGGCACACACTACCACGCCTGGCTAATTTTTTAAAATCTTTTTCTTCATTGTAGAGACGTGGTCTCCCCAAGTTGCCAGGACTGGTCTCGAACCCGTCGGTCTCCCAAAGTGCTGGGATTATAGGCTTAGCCACTGAGCCGGGTCGAAATTAGTAGTATTTAAAGAGAGCTCGGCCAGGCTTGGTGGCTTAGCCGTAATCCCAGCAGTCTGGGAGGCCGAGGACTGTCTGAGCTTGCGGGTTCGAGATCCACCCAGGCAACTTGGTGAGACCTCATCTCTACAATAAATCAAAAACTAGCCGGGTGTGGTAGCGCGCACCTGTTGTTCTGGCTACTTCGAAGGCTGAGGCAGAAGGATCGCTGGAACCCAGCAGGTTGAGGCTGCAGTGGCTGGGAGCGTGCCACTGCACTCCAGTCTGGGCAATGGAGTGAGACTCCGACTCAAAAAAACCAAAACAAAACAAAAAAAACCTTTGAAAATCAAGTTTTTTAATAGAATGTTTAAAGAATTCAAAACCTACTTTGTAAGAACCACAGAAGACAGAAATCTTCTGAGATTACAAAAATGTTGGTAAAATAACAACACTAAAGAAGTGGAATTTAAGAATTCTAGGTCTCTGAAGCTAAGCACTGGATGTTTCCACTATGCAAAACATGGTTAGAGTGATTTTCCATAATCTCAGTTAAGTGGGAAAATCTAATAACTATTTTAAACAGACATTTCCTCTAAACATCAAGTAACTATTCCACTCATAGCAATGAACACAAACTCTAGGCCCTGGTGCATGAGCTTCTCAAAATTCTCTACGTAGAGCCCTAACATAAAGAATGAATCAGAAAACAGAAATGGTGACATAACACTCACCTCAAGTTCATTCAGACGCTGGACTCTTGGAGTGAAACGAAAGCTTTTTACTTCACATGCAAATGGAGGCTGCCAATCCTAAATACAAAGTTTAAAAAAAACCACAGTGATATATAAGCAAGAGTGCACTATATATTCCCTTAAGGGTGATTTGTCACAAATCGTGGTGATTAACAGACAAACTTATGTCTTCTTTATTAGAGAGACAGAAAGAGCAATTTTTTTTTAGACAAAATAATTTTAATACAGGTTGTACTATGTACTAAATTACTAGTACCAGAAGTGTTTCAGATTTCAGAATTTTCTGGATTTTAGAATATCTTCATATACAGACACTGACATAGGGATAGGACCCAAGTCAGAATACAAAATTCATGTATGTTTCACATTCAACTTATAAACATAGCCTAAAGGTAATTCCATACAACTTTTTTAACAATGCTGTGCGTGAAGTTTGTATACACTGAGCCACGGTAAAGCAGAGGTGTCACTATCTGTGGTCGTTTGGCATCATCCTTTCTGTCTTTGAATGTATATGCTGCCAATAAGAAATCAATCATTTTCTTACACTTATTCACACATAAGTACTTACAGTAAATAAAAAAGATGACGTACCATTAATACAATGAAAAGATAATGTGGTCAGGGTAGCTTTCAGATTTTGGAGCATTTTGGATTTGGAATTTTTGCAGTATGCTCAACCTGTATGGCTAAGAGTAGCAATCCTCCCCAAACCAGTCCCGCCACTTACAACCCACAGTTATACTTTCCCAAGTCACTCAAGTGCAATGAGCTCATGTACCACAAAACAGTGTCTCATAAACATACAGGATTACCAAATAGAAAAAATTTGAAAAAGCCAAAAAGCATTTTTGTTTAGTTTGGTTTTGTTTTTGAGACAAAGTTTCACTCTGTCGCCCAGGCTGGAGTACAGTGGTACAATCGTGGCTCACCACAGCTTCCAGCTCCTGAGCTCAAGCGATCCTCCTGCCTCAGCCTCCCAAGTAGCTGGGACTATAGGCACACACCACCACACCCGGTTAATTTTTCTATTTTTTGAATTGATTCGGGATCTCACTTTATTACCCAAGCTGGTCTGGAACTTCTGGTCTCAAGCTATCCTCCCAGCTCAGTCTCCCAAAATTCTAGGATTACAGGCATGAGCCACTGAACTCAGTTAAAAAGTACTTATGTATTTAAAAAAATTTTTTTTATTTGTAATGTGACACAGCACTTTACAGTCTACGTTATACAAATGCTTTATTCCAAGTCCAGCTTCTAGACTCCAAAAGCGTTTTTTGTTTTTTGTTTTTAAAGTAAGCAAACTCACAGAACAAGAACAATTTTCAGATTGTGGTATAACTAAAATGAGATAGAATACTTCAAGTGCAGTTCAAGAGAACATAGTTTGGTTGGCCTAAATAATAATGAACCCATTTAAAGATGTGAGAAGTGGTCCAAAGAAAAGGTATCTTACCTTGAAAATTAAAGAAATCTTCCTAATATTAAAAGTAAACTTGGAATCTAAACCAAGATTTCTTTTCAATAATGTGACATAAAAAGAGAAGGCATATTATTTTAGCATCATCCTAAGTAAATTTTTTTTCCCAAAAAGAATCATGAATAGAATTTCTAATTAATGCAAGAGAATAGATGAAAATATGGCTTAAGAAAACCTTCAATGCTTAAGATTTGTCAATATCAGATAAAGATATATTGAATGATGTTCTGAAGAATAAATACCATTTTACAAAAATAAAGAAATGGAACCTTAAAAAAAAGAGTTATGTAGAAGTTTTTGGAGGATATCAAGGCAAATCATAGCAATTATTTGTTAATCCTTTGCTTGCAAGTGATAGTATATTACTGTAATCAAATTCAGTCAGCACAGTAAGAGTACCACCTATGCTTTAAAAATCAGAAAAATTGATCTAGGTTCCAAATATACCTTGCCACCTGCCCTAATTTACATCTTTGGTGTTTTAACTTATCCAGACTTGCTTCACTCGTAAAATGAGGACTTTAATTGTCTAATTACTAGGACCTCAAAGATGAAAGGAAACAAACTATAGGTGCTAAGTTAGCTCCTCCCCCCTCCCGTGTAAATTTTTTAATTCACTGTGATGCATGTCACTGTGGCAGTCCGCGGTGACGGCAGATGCCTTTTTTTGTCTTCGGTACAGTGGCATGCTCACAGCCACCACAGCCTACACCTGCTGGGTTCAGACAACCCTTCCACCTCAGCCTTTCTAGTAGCTAGAACTACAGGACATGCCACCACGCCCAGCTAATTTTTTTATTCACTGCAGAGAAGAGGTCTTGCCAAGTTGCACAGGCTGTTCTCAAACCTGTGGGTTCAGACAAGCCTCTCACCTCCACCTCACAAAGTGCTGGAATTACAGATGTGAGCCACTGCGCCTGGCTGGTAGACACTTTTTAAAATGCAACACTGATAACAGTGCTTAATATTTTATCTTTACTACTACTACACAAAACATAAAGCAAGTTGTCTTTAAGAAGCACAAAGGCAATGGTTTGAAAACTTTAACTTGCTCGAAGAATCATCTGACAGTAGTTGCCAGAAAAGCAGACTCCAGAACTTCCACATCCAAAAATTGATTCTATGCTTCATAAAGCCTAGGAATCTGCATTTTGACGAGCACCCAGGTTGACTCTGGTGCAAGTGGTCCAGCAACATCATTAGGAAAGCGCTGGTTTAATAGGTAAAGAAAAACACCTTTTGACCTTGAGCATCTCAACCAACCCTCCTGGGTCATTAATTCCCCTTATACCAGAGGTAGTATCCGCTTTCATGACCTTAAAGCCTAAAGATTATAACTAACCTACAGGCAAACCCAGTTATTTGCAGTAACTGTCATTCTAAAATCTTTGATATCAAGAGGTTTCAACGTTTTCTTCCACCTCCACTGCAGACGAATTCTTCCTAAACCCCTAAATTAAAAAAAAAAAAAAAAAGCACTGCCGCTCCTTCTCTTCCCCCGGGAAGACTTTTTCACTGCAGCGATAACGAGCCTGGAGTTCCTGTTGAGGGATACCAGCCTGGGGAACAACCAGAGCTCAGATTACCTTCTCAGAAGCCCTCGCCCTGATCCGAGGCCTGCAAACATGTTACAGACTGAGCATTAAAGGGGCCGGGACCCAGAAAGCGCCCACGGAGGGGCCGTTTTCACTCTCGAACCCAAACGAGGATGAGGGGTAGGTGAGGGCAGGAACGCCGTGCCACCAGGCCGTACCCCGAGCACCTCGCCGGCCAACGGAAGGCCTAAGACCTGTGTCGCCCTCGCCCACGGTCCCGGGGAAAGTACCAGTCCCCAAGTTCGAGGCGGACAAGGCGCCAGGGACGCCACTTTCTCGCGTTCGGACGCAGCCATAAAGGACCGCAAAAGGAACCACGCAGAAACGTCCAGAAACTTAGCCTCCGGTGGCTGAAAAGCCCGGGAGGGCACACACGGGAGGACGGAGGGCCCGACCAGGGCCGCCCAGCCAAGCGCATCGACTCGCCCTCCTCCCCCTCTCTTCGGACTCCGGTACCTTGGGCGGCCGAATCTTGCAGATGCCGGTTTTCTCCGCCAGAGGCCGGATGCGGCCGATGAAGCTGAGCGGGTCTGTGAACTCCTCCCAGCTGGGCTCAAACACCGGGCACTCCGGCGGGGGCACGAACTCCGCCGCGTAGCCCCCCGGCCCCCCGCCCGCCATGGCCGCGGCCGCGGGGCCCCGGGGGGGAACGGGTGGAGAAAGGCTGGCTGAAACCCACCGAGCCCTTTCACGTCCCCTGACGGGGGCCGAAGCACATCTTTCCGGACCAGAGCGGTCCCACACGGGAAGCCCGGAGGCGCTTCTCCTCTCGTTTGTTATTGTTTCTTCCAGGGCTTTTCCTCTGAGGTGCGGGACTTTTCCGGAAGTTAACGTGCTGTCAAATCCCTCCGCCGCCGCCGCCGCCGGAAACGGAACCCTTCGGCCGCGACGCAACGCCTGACGGTCCGGCCCCTCCTTCCTCCGCCCTTCCCGGGCGGGCCGGCGTCGCTCTTTCTCTCCTTGCCCCGCAAAGTCCAACACGGTGTAACGACTCCAGACGGCTCGCCCTTGAGGGGTCCGCGGCACCGCCTATACGCGCGGTTAATGATGGAGGCGGCAGCCGGGGCGAGGCGAGCCGCGTTCTTCCGGCGCGGAGGAATGTGTAATGCCCCAGAGGGCAGAGGTTCTACTTCCGGTGGGGGCAGGGCCGGTTTCCCTTTGTGTATAAATGGACGCGGAGACGAGTCGGGCCGGCCCTCGTCGCCTCGCGTCGCCTCGCCTCGCCGTCTCTGCTTCGTGACTTGTCTCAACCTACGTGTCTGCGTTTCTAAGACGTGACCGTCCCAGCATCTCTCTCATTTTTAGGATCGTCTCACTCGGCCACTTGACGCCCACCTCCTCCGTGAAAACAAGTTCAGGTCGAACACATCCCCGAGTTCTGCCGGCGGACCCTAGCCGTGGTCCGGGAATTGCTTTTCGTCCCGCAGGGGAAGCAGCAGCTCTCGACCCTGCTTCTCTAGTAATTAACAGTCAGCCTCAACTATTTTAGCAGCAACCAGCTCTCTCTAGCACCAGATGCTGCATAACCCTTTAGCTGTAAAAGATACGGCAACTGCAGGGCGCGGTGGTTCACGCCCGTCATCCCTGCACTTTGGGAGGCCGAGGCAAGAGGATTGCCCGAGCCCCGGGCTTCTAGACCAGCCTAGGCGACTTGGCGAGACCCTGTCTCTACAATAAACTTTAAAAATTAGCTGGGCGTGGTAGCATGCGCCTGTAGTTCCAGCTACTTGGAAGGATCCCCTGAGTCCAGCAGGTCGACACTGGGGTGGCCGTGAGTGTGCTACTGCACTCCAGCCTGGGCGACAGAGTGAGACTCCAACTCTGGGGGGGGGGGAAAGGTGGCAACTGTTCTGACCCTGCTTGTCAAAAAATCCTCCATGCAGGTGTCTCTCTCTCACTTCCTCCAAATTGTGGAGAGCAACCTAGAAATGACTCAAGGAAACCGTGAAAGACTAGTTCTTATTTAAACATTAACGTGGAAGAAAAAGTATTTCCTAGTTCCCCATCTAAGATACAGGTGGAGCCAGGGGTGGTGGCTGACGCCTGTCATCCCAGCATTTTGGGAGGTGGAGACCAGACAATTGCCTGAGCCCAGGGGTTCGCGACCAGCCTGGGCAACTTGGCGAGACCTTCTCTACAGTAAATCAAAAAATTAGCCTGGCGTGGTGGCATGCACCTGTGGTTCTAGCTACTTGGGAGGCTGAGGCAGAAGGATTGTGGGAGCCGTGAACATACCACTGCACTCCGGCCTGGGCAACAGAGTGAGACTCTTGACTCAAAAAATAAAATAAATATAAGATGTAGATTGTCGGCCGGGTGCGGTGGCTCAGGCCTGTAATCCCAGTACGTTGGGAGGCTGAGGTGAGAGGATTGCCTGAGGCGCAGGTTCAAGAGCAGCCTGGGCAAATTCGCAAGAGTTCATCTCTACAATCAATCAAAAAAATGAGCCAGGCACGGTAGTGAGCCCCTGTACTTCCGGGTACTTGGAAGGCTGAGGTGGAAGGATCGCCTGAGCCCAGCAGGTCAATGCTGGAGTGACCATGAGCGTGCCACTGCATTCCAGCCTGGGTGACAGTGAGACTCCAACTCAAAAAAAAAAAAGATAGCCAGGCTCGGTGCCTCAGCCTGTAATCCCGCGCCTTGGGAGGCTGAGGTGAGTGGACTGCCTGAGCCCGCGGGTTCGAGACCCACCTGGACAACTTGGCGAGACCTCA